GAATACGAAAACATTGGTGAATGCCACAAATTCTCCTAAATCACTCGTACGCACAACTTAAGAACAAATCTGTGCGTACGAACAGTTCTTGCATGAGGCCCAATGTCTCCTTCAAAAAACACCTAAAAACGCACTTTTTTACTCAAGTGTTTAGCTAACCATTCACCATTAATGCCAGCCTACCTTCACAGTGAATGCTCGCCAACTATCTGTTTTTCTATTATTGAACATCAGGCATAATTTTCTCTCCCCCATTCTCCATGTTTTGTGAATTATTGTATATTTTGCTCTGCATTGACCGTGTGTCTGAGTTACAATTTTAGAATTTAATCTTGATTTGATGTTTCATTATGTTGCTTATGTTTTGTTATATAGCTGGGCGGTAGGACCCAAATTTTATATCACGGTATTTTCAACAATTACACCGGTTTCACGGTATTTGACGGTATTTTTTTTCCTCACAGCGCAGCTGATAATAAAATGTACAAACTTCGCTTATTGACTTTTTTCTGTTACTGTACCTCTGTATAACTGTTTCCCTCCTCTTGTACGTCTTTTCATCTTTGCCTGGTTGTAGACAGTAATCATGCATTTAGGTCCGATCATGAAGGGTTGAGAAAAAATCATTATCTGGTCCATCGTTACGTGTTAATAAAACTTAAAAGGACGACTCGCCTTGCACACCAGTCAACTTCGCTACATTACAAATCTACTTCTCCCCGGGCTTTTCACAATTGAAGCACGCTAGAGTCTCCATGCAATAACGTCTCCATTATAACGTAGCGCGTTAAATCTAACCGTGCACGTCACTGAAGAGTTGTTTACCATTCAGCAATGGTGAAAACGGGATGTTACATCAGACCATATAAGCAGCTGAAACACACCACCCGCCACTAGTTGTTCCAACAATAACGTTAGCATGCTAATGCGCTTAGCGGTGCTACGAGGAAACATGTCCCCAGGGAAACAGTTCATTGGCGGCTGCGACAAAACGTTCTGCACGTGTTCAGGCTATTTACACCGGTATTCAGAAAAGTCATATCATAACAAAAATAAAAACGGGTTTTCGATGCAAAACGGTATACCGCCCAGCACTTTTTTACTATGTTTTATTCTGTTTAATTTTATCTCTGCACCATTTTACATTGTTAATGATTGTACAGCACCTTGTGAATATATTTCTGTGAAAGGCGCTTTATAAATAAAACTTTACTTACTTACTTAAAAGTGTTATTTTTCATGCCTCTTAATGTAATATATTTAATGCAAGTGTGTGTGTTCTACTGTAAAAATCGTGTAAAAAATAACATTTGTTCTGTCACTCAGGAGGGGTTCACACCCTTGACCGTAGCAGTTCGTGAAGACCACATCGACATGGCTGAGTTTCTTCTCAAAGAGTTTGCTGATGTGAATTCTGTAGACCAAGACCAAAGGCTAGTTTTACACATCAAATCATTTGATGTACATGTTTAAAAATATAGAAAGGTTCTAATGGTTTACTGATTTTATCTCCAGGTCCCCATTGATGTTAGCTGCTGGCAATGAGCAAATCAATATGGTGAAGCTTCTCTTGCAGTTTAATGCTGACGTCACGCTCAAAGATACCAAAGGATGGTCAGCAGATGACTACGCAGTGATGAATGGACATCATCTGTAAGTAGTTTTTGTCTTTACATTGAATGCTTATAGATTAATGACTCCTGTGTAATTTAAGGTTTAGTAGCGTGTGGGTGAAACACGTACATTAGCTGCAAAGAATTTTATTTTTTGTTTGATAGGTTTTTGTGTTTTCACAACTGTGACATTTTGAGTGTCTTGTCACTTTTGCAGTTGCTCCCACCTGATCATCGAGCACAGTACCCAGAAGATGGACAGGACATCAATATCACTTCAAGGTCCGAGTAAGAAGAAAAAAATGCTGGGCAGTCCTTCTCATGATGTTGAAGCAGGCTTCTCTTTGGGAGGACCAGCCACTGATAAAGATGGTAGGGTTTTCCTCTTTTATAATACAAAAGTGAGCAACAATGATTAATATTCTGTTTTATATACAGTATGTATATATATATA